CAGGAGGAACCACCGAAAGAGGTATGTACCACTTCTAAAGATTCTTATACTTTTGATGATGTACAAGAAGCCTTTAATGAACTTTATGATGAATATGTCAACGCTTCTAAAATTAACAAGGATTTGAAGAAACAACTTACTTCCATGGAGAATGAAGTTGATAAACTATCAAAATATAATGAAAAACTTAAAGAAGAAAATAAATTTTTCGGAAAAAGAAGCGCCGACAAACCGAAAAGTTCAAAATGTAGTTCTTGTACATCACTTAAGCAACAAGTTGCAAAACTTGAAGGAACCTTGAAGAAGTTTGGTGTTTCTCATAAAAACCTTAATGATGCTCTTGACAATTTGCAACTTACTAAACATGGATTAGGGTTTGAAAATGAAACTAATAATAATAAGGAAAAAGTTGAGCAACCACCTAAACAACCTAAGCCTCAACCTAGGAAAAATAAAATGAGCAATAATAGACAACCTACAACAACTAGGAACACTAGACCACCTAGAAAGAACACTAGGATGAACAATGGTCAAGTTAGAGAACATAGAAACAATTTTACAAATATGCATAAACAAAACTTTTCTCAAACTAGGATCAATTAAAATAGAAAACCTAGTAACTATTATCAACCTAGGAGAATGCATAATCCAAATGTTATTTGTCATTATTGCAATAGGGTTGGACATATAGCCCCGGTTTGTTTCACTAGGCATAGGCATTGCACTCAAAGCCAATCACACTACCTATGTGCACCTAACGCCCAAGGACCCAAAAGGAATTGGGTACCTAAATCTTTTTAAATTGATTTGTAGGTGTGCTTGAAGGCATCAAGTGTACTTAGGTACCTTGATAGCATATGCTCCAAGCACATGACCGGAGATGCATCCAAGTTTTTGCAAATCAAACCAACTAAAGGAGGAAATGTTGTCTTTGGCGATAATAGCATAGGCAAGATAATCGGTATTGGTTCGGTTGGTAAAAACGAAACCACCTCTATTGATAATGTGTTGTTGGTTAAGGGTCTTAAACACAATCTCTTGAGCATAAGTCAATTGTGTGACAAGGGAAATCGTGTGAACTTCGATTCTAAATCATGTACGGTAGAATGTCTTAGTGACAATAAGATGATTCTTTGTGGTGATAGAATTGATAACATTTATATGGTTAAGTTAGATGAATGTCCCTCCGACTTTGCCAAATGTCTCATGAGTAAGGAGGACGATATGTGGCTATGGAATCGTAGAGTAGCTCATGTCAACATGAACCTCTTGAATAAATTGGTTTCACAAGACCTAGTAGTTGGCCTTCCAAAACTCAAGTTTGAGAAGGACACCATTTGTGATTCATGTCAAAAGGGCAAGCAAGTAAGGGCCTCACTTAAACCGAAAAATGTTGTGTGTACAACAAGGCCCCTACAACTTTTGCACATGGATCTCTTTGGACCATCAAGAAAAAAAAGTTTTGGGGGAAACTATTTCGCCTTTGTGATTGTTGATGGCTACTCTCGATTCACATGGACATTATTTCTAACTAACAAAAGTGAGGCATTTCATGTTCTCAAAACTTTTCTCAAAAAGGTTCAAAATGAAAAAGGCTTAACCACCGTAGCCATACGAAGCGATCATGGTGGAGAGTTCGAACGAGATCTCTTTACCAAGTTTTGTGCCGAACTAGGCATCGAGCATAACTTCTCCGCTCCACGTACACCACAACAAAATGGCGTGGTGGAACGTAAAAATCGTTGTCTCGAGGAGATGGCTAGAACTATGCTCGATGAGGCAAAAATTCCTAAGTATTTTTGGGTGGATGTCGTGAGTACCGCGAGCTACGTGTTAAACCGAGCCGTCATTAGACCGATACTCATGAAAAACCCATATGAATTATACAAAGGAAGAAAGCCAAACCTCTCCCATCTTCGAGTCTTTGGTTGCAAATGTTTTGTTCACAATAACGGAAAAAGATAACTTGGGCAAATTCGATGCAAAGTCGGATGAAGGAATTTTTCTTGGTTATTCATTGCGTAGTAAGGCTTATAGAGTCTTCAACAAGCGCACCTTAACTGTTGAGGAATCTTCTCATGTTGTCTTTGCCAAAAATGATGCTCGCTTGGCGAGAAAGGTTTCTTGTGATGATCTTGTAGATTCGTTGGAGAACATCTATCTCAACGACAATGACGAAGGAAACAACTCAAAGGAAAGCCAAGACGAAGAAGTAGAGCCACCAATGAACGAGGAACAACCACAAGAAGAGGAAACGCCAATGCCAAGGGCATGAAGGACTTCAAAGGACCATCCTCTTGACAAGGTAATCGGTGACATTGTAGCTCTCTTAGGGACACCGTAGGTCACATGGCTTTTGTTTCTCAAATTGAACCTATAACCATTTCGGAGGCAATTGATGATGAACATTGGACCTTGGCAATGCAAGAGGAGCTTAACAATTTCAAACGAAATGACGTTTGGGAATTGGTGCCAAGACCCGATGATCATACCATAATTGGTACGAAATGGGTGTTCCATAACAAACTTGATGAAAATGGGATAATCACTAGAAACAAAGCTAGGCTCGTAGCTAAAGGCTACAATCAAGAAGAAGGCATTGATTTCGAAGAAACCTATGCACCGGTAGCACGATTAAAAGCTATTCGTTTATTACTCGCTTTTGCTTCATCTATGGATTTTAAACTATACCAAATGGATGTTAAGAGTGTCTTCCTCAATGATTTATTCAAGAGGAAGTGTATGTTGATCAACTCCTGGGCTTTGAGGATTTTGAGCACCCGGAGTATGTCTATAAACTAAAGAAAGCACTCTACGGTCTTAAACAAGCACCTCGTGCTTGGTATGAACGTTTGATACAATTTCTTTTGGATAACGGGTTCAAAAGGGGGAAGGTTGACACTACACTTTTTATCAAGAGTAAAAACGATAACATCCTCTTGGTACAAGTTTACGTAGATGACATTATATTCGGTGCTACTAACGAATCTTTGTGCAAGGATTTTTCAAACTTAATGACAAATGAATTTGAGATGTCCATGATGGGGGAACTCAATTTCTTCTTGGGGTTACAAGTTAAGAAAATGAGGGAAGGAACCTTCATTTGTTAATCAAAGTATTGCAAGGAGCTTCTAAAGAGATTTGAAATGGATAACTCCAAGGCAATGGCTACCCCGATGAGCACCTCCGAACACTTGGACAAAGATGAAAAGGGTAAGGAAGTAGACATAAAGAAGTATCGAGGTATGATCGGATCCCTTCTTTAACGGCGGTGAAACGGATAATGAAATATCTTGTTGGTACAATGAACGTTGGACTATGGTACCCCAAAGGGTCTCCTTGTCATCTTTTTGGCTATTCCGACTCGGACTTTGCCGATTGTAGATTAGACCGTAATAGTAGGAGTGGGATGTGTCACTTGCTTGGTAGCTCATTAGTTTCATGGTTTAGTAAGAAGCAAGTCAGTGTTGCGTTATCCACAACCGAAGCGAAATATGTTGCCGCCGGTAGTTGTTGTGCCCAAATCCTTTGGATGAAGCAACAACTAGTGGATTATGGCCTTAGTATCGATCACGTTCCTCTTCGATGTGATAATACTAGTGCCATAAGCTTGACGAAGAATCTGGTTCTTCACTCAAGGACGAAACATATTGACATTAGGCATCATTTCATTAAAGATCATGTTCTCAAAGGTGATGTCGAAATTGAGTTCGTTGAAACACACAACCAATTAGCCGACATTTTCACAAAACCTTTAGAGAAAGAGTCGTTCTTCCGCATTCGTAGTGGACTCGGAATCCTTGACTCCACGATGATCTAATTTGTGCATTAATTATTATTTTTGATCATTACTAACTTGAACGTCGGAGACGTTTTTAACTCCTTTTTGCAGGGCTTATCTTTTAATCTTATTTTTAGGTGTCAAAGTTAGGGGGAACAAAGTAAATCGACTTCTGATTTCCAGACTTGGTGTAAACCGATTTACAAGCTTGTAATAATCGACTATCACAGCCCGCGGAAGTTTGAGGCAAATCAGCTGCAAACTCCAACAATCGATTATCAACATTCTGATAATCGATTACCATGGATCTCTAAACATTTTAGACTTCAGAAGGAAATCAGCGTCAGTCGACTTACAAAAACTTGGCAATCGACTATTCATGTCTGCAGATCTTTCGGCGGAGAATTAGAGGGCTCAGATAATCGACTTACAAATTGCGTAAATCGATTTACAACAGCGATTTTTCAAAAATCTGACAGTTTCAGAACCGTTGGAACTGCATTAAAGTCACTTTTTGACTTCCCCAACGGATCTCAAGCCCCTTCCACTATATATTGGTGATCTCCATTCATGTTTTACTCACTCAAATCTCATTCTCTTCACATATTCATCAAATTACATCAATTCTTCTCTATTCTTCATAAAATTTCTACAAATTAGTCTTGTTCTCTCCCTATTTCTTGTTGCAATGGCAGGAGGTCAAAGAAAGCGCTCCCGCACCGGCAAGAATGTCGCTTCTGCCTCGACTCCTCCACCACCGACGCACAAGTACCTCGACGGGTCGTTCCTATGGTTTAACGACCGCGCAGGCGGCAACGCGGTTCTCGGAGAAGTTTGAGCACCCGGAAATTCTCCCACCCTGGTTCTCTACTAGCCGCTTCATTCACAGTTCAATTCCACGGGAGGCACGGGTCATCCTGTTGTACCCGAGACCCGGGGTCTTATCGAGTAGCTATTTTGTGGCAGATTTGCGGAAGGAAATGGATGATAGAACTGAAGGGATGAAATATGGAGTGTGGGAAAGAGATCTTTTTGGTGTTTTTAATGAGAGAAATGAATAAGTTTAAGAAGAAGAAATGGTGAGGAATGAAATGGGCAGAAATAAAGTGAAGGGATAAACCAAGTTGGTGTTAAGAGATATGACACACTCTTATCTTAACTTGGGGCTTTTATCTTCTTTTACACATTAATAATCAATACTAATGTATAAAATTAGACTCCTAACACGCACTCAAAAGTAGCCAACTTTAGAGATATTTCATTAGGAAATTTGGTTAAAATAGCATCACACTATTTTAATGAATTACTCAAAGAGTAAAACAAAGGCTTTTTAATTCAATAATCTGGTTCTGCTTACAATGACCATATGACAGAAGTATTTATACAACAACAAATAAGGGGAAATACAAGAACAATGAAGGAAGAATACAACAAGGAAGTTTCCTACTTCTTTCATACAAATGAATGCTTAATGCCCATCCATGTGAGTTGATTTTCCATGATGCTTCTCCTGATTTTGAGCTGATCTTCTTTGGGTTTATTTGGGTAGAAATTTCGTGCATATAAGGAAGAAAACAAAGGGGAATCAAGCTTTAGACTTTTGTGAATAAAATGCCAAAACAGCACTATTCATTCAATGACTTTGTTTCTGATTTTTGTTCCTTTGTTTCAAAAGTGATTATGCTTTTGTTTTGTGGAAGAAAAGGCTTTATTCTTTGTTGAAAATCAGGNGTTGATTTTCCATGATGCTTCTCCTGATTTTGAGCTGATCTTCTTTGGGTTTATTTGGGTAGAAATTTCGTGCATATAAGGAAGAAAACAAAGGGGAATCAAGCTTTAGACTTTTGTGAATAAAATGCCAAAACAGCACTATTCATTCAATGACTTTGTTTCTGATTTTTGTTCCTTTGTTTCAAAAGTGATTATGCTTTTGTTTTGTGGAAGAAAAGGCTTTATTCTTTGTTGAAAATCAGGGAATAACTTCAGCCTTATACCCAAGCTTAGAAAAGGCAAATAGGAATTGACAATTTTGGGACTTTGAAGTGCAGAGATGTACAATAATCGATTAGCAAGTTTAGTAAGTCGATTAATGGGGTTTGATTCAGAACTGGGAATGTTCTAAGGGACCATATAGTCGACTGATACCACAAGACAATCGATTTACAAGGACTTACTCGGAACTAGATACTTTTTGAGGATGAGGATAATCGACTATCAAGTTATTGAAAATCGATTATGAGAAGTTGTGTACTTTGAAGAAGAATCTGCAGACTACAATAGTCGATTATCAATTGTATATAATCGATTATTTAGGCTTTCAGGATCAAGATTGGGAAAGAAAGAGGGAAAGGCATTATTTTGAATTAAATAAAAAGAAAGAAGACTTTTGGATATGTTGGGAGAGTTGGGATTTTGGTGGAGCCATCCAGGGGTACATCACATCCTCTAACAAGGAAACTTCCTCGACTTCCTCTACATTAAGAAGTACCATTATCAACCTTTTCTTGTTCGAGCTTTCTACTCAAACTTGAAAAAGGATGAGAATGGAGCATTGATTTCTAACGTCAACGGGGTGGACATATATTTGAATGAGAAAAACATTCAAATTCTCACCGGGCTTCATCGGAACGGAGAGGATCTCGACCTCTATGTTGGAGAAGAAGGTGCGCGATTCAACGTGACCGCCCTCTTGGAGGAAGTGGGAATCCGCAATTTCGTCCCCACTCCCCAACAGCGGCGCCCGACGATTACTTCCATGAGTCCCGTGTTTCGATTCATTTTTTATGTTTTGACACGGATTCTCAAGCCTAGGAAGTTCAATCACACCACTTTCTCCCAAGAGGACACAAAGACGCTCCATGCGATGATTCACAATGACAACATCAATTGGTGTAAGTTTGTGATGACTCACATGTTCAATGCCACCTCCGAAAACCGACCGCTTCCCTATGCTCTTCTTGTCATGGCGATCCTTGATGAGTTCCACATCAAGACAAACATCGGGCTGAAATGCAAAGGGACAAAGCATTGGGAGATTGATGAGTCTTCCTTCCACCCGGGAACTGAAGAATCTACGTTCCCGCAGCCTCGTCCACACCGCCAACCAAGGGCCACCGCTTCAACCAACCCTTCTCTAGCCGAGCAAATGGCCGCCTTGACCGCCACTCTCTCTCGGATTGATACCAACGTCTCCCAAACGGCCCAAAATGTCAATATTTTGAGCCGTGAGCTCCATGGGTATTTTGACTTTGTCAACTACCCTTACGCTCAAATGGTCCCCTATGTTCCTCTGCCAAATCTCGGTGGTGAACCAAGCGGGACTAATAACGTTGGTGGAGAAGAAGAGGTGAACGATAAGAAAGAGGAAGAAGAAGAGGAAGAAGAAGAGGAAGAGGAAGCCGAAGAAGAAGAAGATGATGATGATGATGATGATGATGGTGATGAAGAGGAAGAGGAAGATCTTTCACCGGATTTCTAGAGCTCTAGCTCTTTTCTCTTCTCTTCTTTATTTATTATGTTTTTTTTAAATTTTTATTCCGTTATGTACTCCACTATATTTCCCTTATTTAATAAATAAAAATCTTTATGGTTTTTGTTATTAAATCTTTTTGTTAATGTCAAAAGGGGGAAGATAAGGGCTATGCATATATTAAGGGGGAATTTTTTTCAAAAAGATCAAAAACCTATGCATATCCCCGTCTTGTTTGCCATTATCAAAAAGAGGGAAATTGTTGGAGCACACTTTTTATGAAGATAAACTAAAATCGTGTTCATTTCTGACAGGTTTTGATAATTGCCAAACCGCCGTGGATATGAAGAGTTTCGTTGAATAACTCAAGGCGTGAAGAATGGCATGGAACAAGACCAAAAGACTCAAGGACAAGATCAAGAATTGAAGACTTAGTCGAGTCGGTCTTATTGTGATCAAAATCGAAAATCAATTCAAGTCTCAGATCTCAAAGAGTCAAAATAATTTTACAAAATCATAAAACGTTTTTGCATCAAAATAAACGTTTTTAAAGGTTTTATTGTATTTAAATCCCTGGTCCTTGCCCAGACCAAAAACCACCAAGGTCGGCGTTCGGCATCGGCGTACAGCATTCGGGGTTCGGCGTTCGGTTTTTGGCGCCCGAACCAACTCAGTGGTTTTCAATATTTTAAACCTCTTTTTTACCTCTGGGCATATTTAAAAGGTTCCCAAATAATTATTTTGCAAAAACCACTTTTGTATCTTGGTCAATCGGTCTAACACTTGAAAATGGTCAAAACCGTATACACGTGATAAACGACCTTGAAGACTTGGTTTTTATCAAACAAGCCTTGGTTTCACTATTTTATACCATTTACAATGTTTTTCAAAACTTGGTTTTTACTTTTGGGAAAACTTCATTTTTGGACCTCGGTTTTTCAAAACGGGTTTTCACTGGCTGGGTCTTAGCTGGGTGATAATCGATTATCACCTTAGTGACAATAGACTATCAGCATCTGCAGCTTTGAACATAAGGTTCTGAAGCATACAATAATCGATTATCACAGTCTGCAGCCAAAACCCAAGATTTTCTAAGAGGACCAATAGTCGATTGACACTCGTTGACAATCGATTATCTGGGTTACCGTTGTCCTCCAATGGATAGAATTTTAAATTTTTGGATAGGGAATCTTTTGATAATCGATTATCAAGCTTTGACAATCGACTATCACCCTGTGTCTCTGAAAAAATTTGTCTTCATCTTGTTGGAAAGTTTAGCAACGGGTTTATCCCATTTTAGGCTATAAAATGGCACCCAAATCCTCTCATTTTACACACAATTCTTCAACATTTCAATACTCTTTCATTGCATAAACATTCCTAGTTTTCTTAGCTATTTGAGGGCCAATTCTTGAAGAAATTGTCGTGTTCTTGAGCGTTTACTAGTTCACTCATATCTACTCTTTGTGAGAGTTTTATTCCTGAGTGTTTAAGTGTTTCTATACACTTTAAGGGACGTCGTTCCCTTGTTGTAAACTCAAAGGAAATTCTTTGTTCCTTCGTGAGATGTGTTGGAGTGTGGTATCTCTGAGCAAAGGCGTTGAGGCTCGTGTGACTCGGGATCTCAAGTTGTATCGGTTTGTTGAGCACCCTTAAGCTTAACGGAGTTAATGTAGCTCGAGAGAGTCTCTCGAGAGGCTGGATTAGCCACACGTTGTGGTGAACCAGGATAAAATTCGGTGTGCTCCTTCCTCACGCTCTTTACTTTATCGCTCTCATTTTTAATTTCCTGCGATTTTGTTTTAAACGCTATTCACCCCCCCCCC